TTCTGATGAGACGGCTTTGAAAGAACATATTCGCGTTTCTTGCAAAAGGCACCAGGGAGGCTGAACGGCTGCGGCGCGAAAAGACGCGCAGCCCGGTCCTGGCTGTAGTTTAATGGAGAGGCGAATCCCATAAAGTCCAACAGGATTGCGCCCTGGTAGGGGTACCTGCGACTGCATCTTCCATCGGCCGTGTTGGAGCTGGCAGCGGGCCGCACTGTTAGCGGATCTCCGGCTTTTGACCCGGGCGAAGGTCCTGCTTCCGAGCCGGTGGCTTGCAGCCCGGGGCCTGCCACGGCTTGGCTCGGCTCGGCAGGCAGGCAGGCAGGCAGCTCGCGGGCTCGGCGGGGCTTTCTCGCCTCTCGCGGCCCAGCGGGGGCAGCGCCGCTCGCCCGAGTGCGCGAGTCCCACGTGTCGGTGCGTCTCGTTGCTTGCAGAGCCGGCCTTCGGGGAGGTGAACCAGCTCGGCGGGGTCTTCGTCAACGGGCGCCCCTTGCCCAACGCCATCCGGCTCCGGATTGTGGAACTAGCCCAGCTGGGCATCCGGCCGTGCGACATCAGCCGGCAGCTGCGCGTCTCGCACGGCTGTGTCAGCAAGATCCTGGCCCGCTACAACGAGACGGGCTCCATCCTGCCGGGGGCCATCGGGGGCAGCAAGCCGCGCGTGACCACGCCGACGGTGGTGAAGCACATCCGGACCTACAAGCAGCGGGACCCCGGCATCTTCGCCTGGGAGATCCGCGACCGGCTGCTGGCCGACGGCGTGTGCGACAAGTACAACGTGCCCTCGGTCAGCTCCATCAGCCGGATCCTGCGGAACAAGATCGGCAACCTCTCGCAGCAGAGCCACTACGAGACCTACAAGCAGCACCACCAGGCGGCCCCGCAGACCGCGCTGCCCTACAACCACCTCTACTCCTACTCCGGCTCCATCGGCGGGGCCGGCGCGAAGGGGCCCAGCCCGCCGGGCGTGCCGGCTCTGCACAGCGCCGTCCACATGCCCCGGACCTGGCCCTCCTCCCACTCCGTCACCGACATCTTAGGCATCCGGTCCATAACAGACCAAGGTAAGCAAACGCTGGAGACCCCCGGCTAGGGCCAGAGGCCAGACCAAGAAGGCCCTCCTCCGCCTTCAGCCTCCTGCCACTGGGGAGGGGTGCTGCATTTCCCCCTACCCTTGCAGAAGCCTCCCCTGGTTCCACTTCCAACAGTCTACCGTGGCCAAGATGCAAAATGAGAGCTTGTGCTATTTTGCATGATGCAATTAAAGTAGGTTACAAATGTGAAGCTTTTCCCCGAGAAGTGTTAGGGATAAGTATTTTAGTCTCTGTCTTTTAAAAATAGGCTTCACTGCTGTCGGAGGGACATGCTTACAAGTATGTCACTGCTCTCAAAATTATTTTTTACTTTTTTAGCTGGCACATCGTGCTTGATAAGTAGACCTGGAGATCTCTAATTCTGGCTGACAGTTTGGTTGGTTCTAAGAAAGTTATTGCTGCCCTGTGAAAATTGGAATGTTTCTCATGGTTTGGCATGGCTTACTTTTTTAGCTCTAAAATAAGTTTCTCATTTAGCCAAAGAGGAGGTAACAACTGAAATGCTTTCTTGACAAAGCCAAAATGAATCACAAGCATGTCTCCCCAGAAATGTGGTTTTCATGAAAATCCATTATTTCACATGCATATAGTATGTGAGATGCTGTAATATTGGAACAGATTCCTCCTCTGTGACATCTGATATGCCTCATATAATAAATGTCAATTCGGTGCGTGCACATTTTACATTGCTTGTTACCAAGAAATATATGTGGCACAAATTTAAACTACCTCAAATTATTTTTTCTAATTAAAATTAAATTCATGAAAGCTAATATGTAACAAACTGTATATGAATTGAACTTATTTAAAAATATATGTATTATTTAATTTATTTCAACCATCCTACAAAACAATCCTTTGTGTTTGCCTGGAAGTAAGTCACACTGAGTTCCATGGGATTTACTCCTTATTATAGATGAATAGAATTGCAGCTTTAATTCCAAATTTAAATAGAACCCAATCTGCTAAAATCTAAGGCGGAATACTTTGGATATGTATCTATTGAACCAAATTGAACTTATTTCTGAGTAAACCTGCACAGCATTGAGCTGTCAGTCACCCAAACTTGGGCTTTACTTCTGAGTAAGCAATACAGTAACCAATTTCTACTCTGCTACCGGCAACTATAAGTTACTGCACTCAAGCCTTTTGTGCAGCTGGAAATACTGCTGCTAATGTTAGCTGCCATTATCTGTGGAAAACCAAGTTGTCCCCATTTATATGGCATAACTCCACCCTTAGTCATTATACTTCGTTTCAAATATATAATTGTAGGTCATAATGATTATATAAATGCCTTTACCACGAATAAGAAACCCTGTGCCATCTTAAAAACTAATAGTTTTATTATGACATTGTATTGTGCCATAATCTTCTATAAATAGAGTTAAAGATGCTATAGACTTTGTCAGATGCATGAAGTCCTCAGTTACTGTGTGTGTGATTCTGTGCATGTATACATATTATTTAGTATATGCTATACTAGATGCATCTGATGCGGTTAAATAATTTGCGTGCTAAGGAGATAAACTGCATATGTGCACAGATGCACCGCTGCCACCACGCAAAAAGTTGCCAGGTATACTGACTTTTTCTGCCAGGCCTTTGTGCATGTTGTTTGCTTTCAAGTCAGGGATTCTTCAGGAAAGGCATCTCCTTGAAATTGCAGGCAAATCCACCTCCAGTTCTTGCAATCAGACCAAATTTGCTCAGACAGGAAGTTCAAATGTCACCTAATTGCTTTCGTTCTTCTGCTTCACTTTGTTTTCCTCTAAAGCGGTGGTCCAGAAAACTGAAACTACTGATGTTTAACTAGCATTTAGCCCCTTCCGAGGGCTTGCTGCTCTATTCGCTTGTACTGACTTGACTGCAGAATTCAAAAACTTGTAGTTAAAAAGGCGAGAGGGGATTGTTCTTAATGGTGAGCTCAAATTAAAATGCATTCAGTCAAATATTTGCCTATGTGTAGCCACCCTGTAGTATGAGTCTCTCCCTCTCTCAGTTTAGGAGTCCCATAGATTATAATGTAATTTAAGCTCATAGGATGACTGAGGCAAAAATATAGCACCATTTTAAGAAAACAAAAACTTCTGTCTAGTTTAGGTGCTGGCTTATCTTTCTGGTTTGTCCTCTGCTATAACACCTCTATGAACTGGCCCACAAATTTTATTATACTTTATTTTTAAAAAATGTTAGTAAAATAATCTTCTATTTTAAAATGTATTTCGCATTCTTTTACTTGTTGAAGGCAAAAAACCTGGCAATATTTCTTCTCACCTAATTTATTATTTTTAAAGATTCTACATGGGACTTTTCCAGGGCTATGCAAATTCTGCCAATCCTTCAAAAACTAATTTTGTAATCTGCATTTTGTTCCAGGGTGGAGAGGATTTTTATTTTATTCTATTTTATTTGGAAATGTTTGCTGTGCACTTGGGGCAAGCCAACAAAGAAGGGGTGGGGGAGAGCATGAGCTGAAGAGAAGCTGAGAGAACTGGCTCGATTTCCTCGTTTATTGACACCATAGTGGCCAAGGCCTCCTTTCTAGGTAGGAGTCCAGTGGGTGAAGACTGAATGACACATCTCTTCGCAGCTTCCCCTCACCCCCCTCCAGTTAGCAAGCAGCATCTGAGGGCTGCTTGCCCTTGATTTATAGGGTAAGCTGACCTTGCTGACATCGAAAGGAAGCCCCTATTCATGGGAAAGTGAGAGATCAGCAGAAAAGGGAGCTTGCGAGAGAGACAGCTCTGTTGCTTAAGTCAACTTTAGACATGTGCCCGGTGAGCTACACAGTGCTTCCAGAGAAAGGAGAAGAAGCCAGTGGCTAGACTAATTCCTCCCTTGTGCCAGATGGAACTCTAGCCAAAAGGATTCCCTTGCTTGGCATGTGCAAGGACCCCAGGTTGCTACCTGTGGCTGTGGGCAATGTGAGGGCCTTGTGTCCTTGTCAAACATCCATAGCATTCTCTTTACTGTGTCTTTTAGGTCATTCATCTCCAACATGCCCCTCCTCACCTGCACTCCCAACACCCTGAGATTCCCACAGAACTCATAAAAGCTGAAATTTTTGCATTATATTACAACTCTGTTTTACACCTTGAAGCTAAGTACTTTTGTTCATCTGGCTCATGGGGCTCTGCCATTGAAATCTCCCAAGTTATCTTGGGAGATGTTCAGCGTTGCATTTAGATCGCCTAGCATCAGCTGGCAGCCCTATTGATTTCAGTGGGTCACTCTGAATAGTAAAAGGCAGTGGTTCATAGTCATGTCTGGAAGTAGGTTCTTTGGCTATCAGTAGGAGCCAAGCAGTAGAGGGGCTGGGAGGCATTAAAATTCCACTTTCTGGTAAGTGTTACAAACAGCCCATATTCAAAGTGATGCTTTTCTTTTCTATTTTAGAACAGAAACCTCTATAGTAATTTGTAAGAGTTATTTTATTCAATATGGCTCTCTTACCATCTTTTCAAGAAATAAAAAGTGGCATATTACAAGAATTGACTTTAGAAATAATTATGCCAAATGTAGTTATTACTGCCTAGTGGCTGTCACTGGCAGAGGATGATGGATGAATTTCAACAATTCTGAAGTCTGTCTTAATCTAGTTAGGGTCTATAATTCTCTTTTTTTCATGTTAGGATAAAATAACTTGGGGAATGGTGACATTGAAAACTGTGTGGAAGGTGGAATGCCAGATCTTTCCATTCATATTTATCCTAAATAAACTTAATTTCAGCACATAACATGATTAGGATCAAATGGTTTGAATCTCTCTCCATGCATTTCTGCCCTTCCTTTGGAAACTGAATTCAGCCTTGCCACAAACTAAGCCTTTGATCCACCTTTTCTAGGTGCACCAACTAAAATCAGTTGGGTTGCTCTGCAGTAAGTGAATTCAGCCATGAAACCACAGTCACCATAATGTGTATTAAGAGCAGGAATTAATTTGCTTAAGAAATCCTTCAGAAACCCCCAAATTCTTGGTATTATATAAATTGCATTAAATATATCATAGATTATTGGTTCTAATTTATTACTAAAAGTGAATGAATAGAGGGCCACTCCAGTTGGCCCCATCATAAATGGCAGCCTTAGATGAAGGGGAAATCCAAAGTTATTTTATATACCATCCATAGTAGAAAGTCAAAAATAGTTTTCATTAAAATAAATGGGAATTGGGTGTACCTTGTACTGTGACATTCAATTGAATTAGAATAAGTTTAAATTCACCCTAACTCCTTTGAGGACAAAACTAATGGTGAGCTGCACAGCTTCCTCCCTGTAGACCCAGCACCTTTATGAGCAATATAGAGATACATTTGCAGAACTACAATCAAATTTCCATGCAGGAGTATAACATGGTTTTCAAATGGTCCAAACAAGAGGTAAAAAGGAAGGTTGCCCCTATTTGGGGAATTTAAATGCCTGAGATACATGCTCATTGGTTTTCATTGGGAAGCTGAGGGAGGGTCACAGCTCCATCCGTATCACATTTCCTTGACGTTCAAGTCTTTTTGTTGGCCACTCCATGCCCATTCTTCTGTAAGGTCTCAAGGCAGGATTGTAGACTCGGTTACTTCTGGTGAGCACCTGAAGTTTTACAGCTTAAATTCTTCTTGAAGGCTAATATAGATCTGCAGTAGGCAGGATTCAGGCTTGCAAGAGCTACTCCCCCCCCCTTTTTTTTAACTAGATGAACACTGTGGTTGACTTACCCACATCCATGGTTCATTGAAGTGGCTGTTGGCTTCTGCTTTGTTTTTTATCTTGACAAAGCAAGACTACATTGTCATGGTCTCATGATAAGGCACCAGCACTGCACTCTTGGCTAGCTGAGCAGTGCCTTAACAGATCGAGCAAGTGTAGCATCTTTTGTAAGCAACCAGGAAAATTAAGGTTGGTATCAGGGCACCTTATTCTGCCTCCTGCCCAGCCACCCTTTCTACTTTGAGGGAGGGCTGGAGGGTTTCTTCTTGTACACAGCAATTTACTTGCTGGTGTAAAACAACACCTTGATTCTATGTGAGGTAAACAAGGTGATGCCCTCCAGATGTTTTGAACTACAACTCCTATGAGCCCCAACCTGCATGGCCAATAGTCAGATGGTAGGAGCTGACATTCAGAACATCTGAAAGATAACAGATTACATATTCCTGGATGAATAAGAGTTGTGTATTTTGATAGAATTTCCTTTTTCACACTCACAGTTCAATCCAGTACATGTCTCTTTGGAAGCACATCCTGGAAATCTTTTTGGGTTTTGTTTTTTAATATTGATATTTATATATTGATGGTGAGGAGAGAACCCAGCTACAGCCCGACTGTATAGGTTATAGAGCAATCCTCTGCAATCCACTGTGTTCAATGGAACTTAAAGTAAGCATACCCTGGATTGCAGCACTAAGTGCTTGCTTTCAGTGGATTAAACAGGTTTATTTACTATCATTACGTTTGTACCCCCCTCTTGTGAGAAACCAAAGGCATTTGCATAACCCTCCTCTGTTTTATTCTCATGGCCACCCTATGAAGTACGATAGTGGCCCACAGTCACTCAGTGAGTTTCATGTCCAAAGGGGGACTGGAACCCGGATCCATTGTATCATATTGGTTCTCTTAGAAGTAAATGCTTTTTGTTGTGTTGGAGCCTCAGTTCGAACCAAGTTTGAAATTCGAGGGACCTAACCCTGATTGGAAACGTATGATACAGAAGTAAACTGCTTCTGGAATCAAACAGCTCCAACAGACACTGTAATTCTGTGCAAACTAGCACGCTTACTCCAGTACGGTCATCACTGAACATCACTGAACGTACTGGGACTCACTCCCGAGTAACTATGCAGAGGAGGCCACTGCTGCTGCTAACTTCCCAGTTTTCTGAGAGTGAAACCTCAGTGAACACAGCGATTTACTTTAAATGTGGGCAGGCTGGGGCCACACACCCGAATACGACTACAGGTCCGTTGCAAACAATGCAAGTTAATTCTGAGTACCCGAAAATCTCCATCTGGATTATCAGTGCTATCCTATTTGATTCGTTTCATAACTCCTAAGAAAACGATTTTTGAGCTCAAGGAATGGCGCACTGCCTCTTCTCTCTTTAAAAGCCGCTCCCAAGCAGCTTTCCTTGGAATCTTCAAATCCAGGTTTCCTCAAATCCTGTTTGATTCCAAAAGGATTTGGCCCCAGGCAAGAGTAGCAGGAGCAACAGATCCGGTCGGGCATTCAAATGAATGCGCAGAGTCGGAAGGCCGTTCCTGGAAAGGAGTGTGACTTACTTTCGAGTAAACGCGACGAGGTGTAAATGTAAGCCTCCGCTTGTTTTTACTGGGGAGACCTTTGGGAGTGTGATGTTACCAGGCAAGGGTCGGTTGTGATGCTTCCTCGCTGGCTTTTAATGGCACGGGAAGGGCGTGCAAAGCACCGGGGTTCGTTCGGCGGGCGCGCCTGGCCCTTCCTGGGCATCGCCAAGCGCGCGCAGCCGAGTTTTAGTCCTGCGAATACCGGCCGCGCGTAAATGGAGACCGCTGGAGCTCGCTTTCCCAAAGAAAGCTGCTGCCCCCTCACCGCCTTTGTCCTGTGTTTGCCCGCAGTTAGCGACAGCTCGCCCTATCACAGCCCCAAGGTGGAAGAGTGGGGTACCCTCAGCAGAAGCGGCTTCGCGACCGCCGCTCAGCACGTAGCGGTGAACGGCCTGGACAAGGGCTCGCTGGAACCAGAGGCCAAGTACAGCCAGGTAAGGGGGACGTCGCCTATTGCCTGCAAGGAAGCCGGGCTGGAGGTCTCTGGCACAGGGCAAGCGCCCTTCCGGTGGGAAGGCCCAGAAAGATGTGGGGGTGGCACGCCGAGGGGAAAGGCACGTGGAGTCGCCCTCCTCTCCATTAGATCTTGCAGTCTCCTTTTTTTGCAACAAATTTCCCTTAAGAAGGGCGTTTGTGTCTTTAGGTAAAACATTTTTATTCCACACTGCAGTCAGAAACGGGATCTATAAAACAAGAGGGGCCTTCCCTGCCTGCCTGCAAGCCGACAGATTAAAGTGACGGGATATGAAAGGAAGAAGGGATGGGATGGGAAGAGGAGAAAGAAAGCGGGGGTCGCCTTTCAGCAGGGCTGGTGGAATGAATGGTTCCGCTTCCCTCTCATCTTCCCCTGTACAGCCTGCTGGAATGGCTGGTGGTGGTGACAGCTGAAAGTTCGAAAACGCTGACCTAGCAGTATCCGTTTTGAGCTTCCTAATTCCTGCCAGAACTAAAGGAAAACTATTTCAAACTGGAGAGACCATCGATCTAGGCTGCTTCCGGATCAACGCCAAAATCGCTCCAAAGCCAGTCAAACAGTAAAGCCAGGATCCAAATAATTGCTTTCAAGTGAGCCCATAAACTCCGGCACGGCCTATTTTTGGAGGTGGGTGGGTGGGAGCTCGCACGTGTATTCTTCCTTCTGCCACGCCACTCCTTAGACCTGCGCGACCCCGTACTGCATTGCAAACTGCTTTGGACGCTTCCCCTGAATTGGGAGAAATCGAAGGCTTTGTTGTGAACTCGCTTCCTAGAAAGCATGTCCCATTCTGATCTTAGTGACTTGTTTCTCTGGTTGGGGGTGCCCCCTTGGGTTCAGAGGCAGCAATTTAGAACTCGGAGTTTGCAGCTGTATCCTATGCATGTTTACCCGGAATCAAGTAATCGAGTCCACTGCGGCGGCCTCCTATCTTCTGGTGCGTAGTATTGTAGCTCCCCACTCTGTTCTCCTGGGCTCACAGCTCTTAGTGGATTTCTTTCGGATTGCACGCCCAAAGTGCATCCTCACTGGGACTAAGCCCCATAGAAATATGTAGGGAGGGGCCCCCTTTATGCATAGGACTTTGCTTTATGCCTGCAGTCCTACGTCCACTTATCTGGGATCCCATGCCTTTGAAGTCAGCGGCATTTGCTTCAGAGTGTATCCCCTTGGGGTGGGAATTTGCTGACTTGGTTAGGCGGAGTATGCCTGGACGACTCGCAGGCATACTAGGCAAAATTTTCTTGACAGTAAGGCAGATCAAAAATTTGGGTAGGAGAGGACATCCCGATTTTGGGAGGAGGGGGGATTTTGTGAGAGGCCAAGCTCCGGTCGAGGGATTTTTCTGGGGTTATCCCGAAACCTCCCATCGGCGCCATTGCCCATAGACTTGAAAACTAGCGCCCCGAAGCAGATCGTGCCTCCTCTTCATGCGGCACCGCGGATGCTGAAACGAACCAGCGAGCTTCAGAGCTCGGATTGCGGCTGCCGCGGCGGGGGGGCGCGGTAGGGAACCCGCGGCTTGTCAGGATTTCGGCGTTGATTTGTACTCAGGACGGAGACGTGCGCGGGTTGTGGGTGGGATGGAAAGACTGATTTAATTAGGAAGCCCAAAGGGCTCGTGAGACGTGCAAATCGTCGCAGCCGGGCGAAAGAGGAGGAGAGGTCTGCGCGGAAGATGGACGGCTCTGATCTAGACGCCCCCGGGCTCCTGGCCGAGAGGGCCTGGCTGTGAGAGCGCCGCGATGACCGCGCTTTGGCCTCCTCAGCCCTGGCTGAGAGTAGCGCTCCCCGCATCCCTCGGGTAAGCTTAGCTGGGATTTCCTTGGCCTCGCCTCAGCCGACCAGCGACTCGCCCTCGCAAGAGCGCTTTCTGCCCTCTGGTTGTTTGCTTCTTGGGGCTGGTCTCCGCAGGACAAGCGAGGCAACCTTCAGACAATAGTTGTATGTTGCAGGCAGGCAGGCAGACGCTCTCTCATGCACACGCGCACAGAGCGCCGGGGGTGGGGGGCGAATGGGCCGGTGTTGCTGCAGCCCGCCGGCCTGCGGCCTTACTTTCTGGGCCTACGCGGCTTCGAAGACCCGGATGTACCAGTGACCCGTTGTTTGGAGGCCCAGTGCCTTTCTGTGGCGTGGGACCTTTGCTTTACTTCGATGTGCTTCAGAAATTGCTCCACTGAGTGCAAAAGGCCCAATTTGGCCTGCAGTACAGCTAAGTAACCCGCTCGTCCCATATCAATGGCTCCCTTTATTTTCATTAGTTTTCCCTAAAATGGACCAGAATGGGCTTGTGCCTCATTCATTTCAGTAGGTCCGCTCTAACAAGGGTTAATATTGGATACCATTCAATGATGGCCTCCTTTGGTTGAGAAAGAGGGAGGGAGGGAGGAGTGAAGAGAAGTAGGAACTGTTACCCCACTGCAAAATGCTCCTCTCTTGCCCCAGCCATTATGTGCAAACTGGATCTGTGGTTGGTAGATGGTAAACAAATGACTACAACATGTACAAACTGGATAACATGCCACTCCCTTTGTGCTCCATTTAACGAAGCATTCTGAATTCTTCTTGGTTTAAACAGAAGAGACTTGCAACTTATTTACTCAGAAATAAGTTCCACTGTGTTCAGTTTGGAGTGCTCCCGGATGAATCTACTTCCTTAGCATTTTCGCTTGGGAGTAACTCCTAGTGAATGCTGATAGAATTACTTCTGAGTAAACAGGCTGAACCCTGTTAATCGCCTGCTGCATGTTCACTTTGGAACCAGTGGAATTTCACAATGTACTACCTTGTTCCTTTGCACATTAATTATGAAAGGCATCACTTAACTTGTTATCTGAATAGACCCTCTCTCTTAAACCTCCATCTAACTTGCTGCTTCCACTCAGTGGTGCAACCAGTCTGGACCTAAGAGCCAAAATCCAGGGGCCCACAGCTCAGGGCCCCTGAAGTAACAGCTCAGTGGCAAACGGGTTTCCCCAGCTAGGCTGGCATGGGCATTGCAGGGCCACCAGGAATGACATTGCTTTTGCATTCTTTTCTTTTCTTTTCCTTTCCTTTCCTTTCCTTTCCTTTCTTCCTTTCTTCCTTTCTTCCTTTCTTCCTTTCTTCCTTTCTTCCTTTCTTAGAACAATATGATATAGCTGGGCAGGTACATGGCTACTGATGTTATTTTTTTCTACTTTTTACTTTGTATACATTTCTGTAATAGTGCTTATTCCCAAGTTATTTATCTCTGTTTTGCCTAATGGGCAAAGTTTGTCGGCAGATCATTAAACAGACAATACAATGTGTTTCGTGACAGGCCAACCCTGTTTTATCCGATAAGCAACAGGCCAACAGAAGGAAGCTTACTTTTATCTCTGTGGTTATGATGATAGAGGCATTGTTAGGGCTGACCCACTACAGCTGGTGCCTCAAATTTCTGGTTGTCCATGAGCTTCTGTCCAGGAACACTTGCTGAACTAAAGGTCCAGCAGCCCTGGTGATGTCTGTTGTACTTGATCCCTCCGAATTAGCTGGCTTTTTGCTTGCATGCACTTCACCTGCTGTGGTTCCGCCACCACTACTTGAATCTTTCTTCCTGAGTATATTTTCCCCTGAAAGCAAATGCCCACCTCTTCCATGCCCATGCATTCCTTTTTACAAACAGATGGCCTTGGGGGATAGGATACACATGCACACAGATAGAACATGTGTAAATTGGCATATGCAGATATGTGCATTTTTTGTCCTGCAAAAATCTTTTCAGTATTTAGCACTGCTCCTGCCTGATGGTGCTGTGATTTATTCAAGTTTAAAATAGAAATGCAGTTGTTCAGTATATTTTTCTTTAAAAACAAAAGCAGGACTGAAAATGATGTTGTTGTTCTAATTTTGATATATCAGGGATGTAGAAGCAGTATGGAATCAGGATGGGGAGAAGAGAAATTTTAGTTGTGTGGTTCACAAATGAAATAATACACATGATCATGTAAAGCAACCCTGTTTTACCCCATAAGACCATTAAATCCAGAATCTAAAATGACCTCTTTACACTACTGTTCTCACTTGCTTTGGATAATTCTGCCCACCTACTCGACAGATCTCAGATCTCAAGGTAGCCAGCGAAGAAGTAGCAGCAGTCATGCTATCCTAAGCCTGCTGGCCCTTTGCAGCTGTATGCATTATAGCCTGAAGTTCCTGATCCTGCGTAATCTTGAAAACTAAGTAGGGTCTGGCCTGGTTGAAATTTGGATGGGTGAACCATCGAGAGAGCTTTGGTAGTATACAAATGTCATGTAATAATAAAAGTAGAAGCAGATCTGCTTTTTGGCTCGTTAACCACTCTTGCTTGTGTGGGTTATAGCATTCCAAATATAAAATTGCCCAATTCTCCAACCTGCTTTTGCACAGGTGATAAATTCAGGGCATAATCTAACTGCAACTGGCTGATACTACTTAAACATTTCACAAAATGGAGTAACCCTGGTATGCCACCCACTCCCTTGAGCTCTTTGGAGGAAGGAAGGGATTAAAAGTTACTGCTGCTGCTGATAGCAATCTGTAACAATATGTCACTAAACGGATCACTGTATTGAATCAGCTTTTGGTTACCCTGTTTAAAACAGAGTAGTTTCTTCTGTGATACTATTCAGCTCTGAGTACAAGCATGCTTTTATGTTGTTAGTGTGGTGATAACTGTTTGGAGCCCTTGCTTTTATTTGCTGAAAATTATTTAGATTACAAAAATTATTGATATTTTACTATTCCAGATTGGTTGTCAAAATATGTGTTTACCAGGTTTTAAATTTTTAATGCAGCAGGGAACTTAAAAATAATTTCAGTTGCGTCTAACATAACTTGAAAAGACCTGCAGATCTGTATCATCTATATAGTGTTTCAGTGCTATTATTGCAAACAATCTGCATTCCAGGTCAAGCACTGTGCCTTCATTATTACGCTGTAGTTGGTTGACCCCAA